AATCTTTGACATTTGTGTGCTCATTTGAATTTTCTTTGTCCCGTTGCTTCTAAACGCCTCTAATTTGACCTTTAGACTTTATCCTCCTTCAGTCCTGTGTTGCCTCACTTAGCTAGAGCCTCACAGACACATTTCAGACTGCGGCTCAGAGCGGCTTTGATTAAACTGGAAACTTCCTGGACCGACCTTTATTTGTATAAAGATACGACTGTGTCGGCTCAGAGTTGACAGGCGGCGATAAAGTCCATTCAAAACGTGGCGAGAGAACGATTTGCAAATCACTCAGCAGGAAGATGAGGGGCAGTTTCCACCTGCCGGATAGATGGACTCACGTTAAAGGGGGAGATTCTGCCTCCTCACTCTGAAAAGAGGCTGAGGATTCTCCATTAAACATTTACCGTCAAGATTTTCCACTCCATAAATTGTTCAGTTTTTTTTCTTTACACTCGATTTAAATCACTTGGAGTCGTTTCTGGGTTTTGCTGGGGAAGTTACAGTCGTGCAGTTTCTCAGTGTCGACCCCATTTCCACCGGGGATCCTTTTGTTTTTTACTGGTTTGTTCTCTTGCTCCTGGCCTCAGGCTTTTCCCTTTTAGTGCATGAATAGATGAAATGCCAGGTCCTCTGCTCCTGAAACGGTAAATGCTCAGTGTCACCGTGGACCTGGAAACTGAGGCTCCACTCCTTTGAAATCTGCCTCCTTTTGTTCATACTTTGTGTCCTCGTTTGATTCCTAGCCGGTTCGGGGTGCCTTCGTCCTCGTGTAGCGGCTTAAACCCAACAAGAAGACTTTTAAAACAGAATTCTGATTGTTTTTTATTTCTAAAATAATAGATGCAGATGTTCCCCGGCTGCTTTCGTTCTGCTGAGTGGATTTAAACAATTCAAACACAGCTACTAATCAGGACACTCCGTGCCGTGTGAGGGAGGATTTTAAAGTCTGGAAGGATTTTAAGTACAGGAATAAACATGAAACCGTGTGTTTTATCGGCCCGCCCTGAACTCT